AACAAATTCTAGAAAATTGTTTCACTTAGCTGTAGCAATGCAAAGAGAAAATCGATGAAGAGAATCGATCATCGCGTATTCGCCCTTATGCATGCTCACTGTCGAATTGATGTAAATTTAGGTGCTCTGAGACTGACATATACGAGCGTAAATTTTGACATAAAATTGAGTCTTAATTCAACTTAATCAAACGTACTTTCGAATCTTTCAGTCTCGGAGTACTTAATTGTATATGACATGTTTGTTTACGTCTCATCTTTTATGTCAAAGATGGATTCCGTCACGTGTTTAGGTATTTCTAAGTGTGTAGAGACGGCTCCCTCGCATTTGAATCAGCTGTTAGAGCCAAATTAAGTTCTGAACATTGCATTAGGTCCTAAGTAACATTGACAGATTCTCTTCGTCGACTTCCTCTTTGTATCCCCACGGCCACGTAAAGACATTCCCAGGTAAGCGCACAGATCGATAAAATAAGCTAGCATCTAATACGACAATCACAGCAAGAAACGGTTATGTGTTCAAGTTATTAACGAAAGAGAAAGTCGACGAAGAGAATAGATAAATGTTACTTAGAACCATTGGCGTAGCTAGACAATTTATCTGGAGGGGGCCTAGATAATTCTTGAGGGGGCCTAGATAATTCTGGAGGGGGCATGGCCCCCCTGGAACCCCCATTAGCTACGCCAATGCGTAGAACCTAATGCAACGTTCAGCTTGATTTATTCCCACCTTTATAGGAACCTTGTTCCGTAATTAAACTTTTTAAGCGCAAGATCATCAAACCTAAACTAAATCTGACAACTCGGTGTGTGTCACTCGATTGTCTGTTTACTCGGCAGCAACCACTGTGTGGTCCTCCTCATTGTTCTTAAATAGCAATTCCCTCGGTCGATGCGTCGTCGACTTTGGAAAGCAACTGTTTCGTGATGAGTGTGTGAGTGATGACCAAGTTTTGCGTCCATTGCTGCAATGGAAGCGCTGGAAGCGGATCCCGTTCTGATGTAGAAGACTTATTGCATAGCGGAAGATAAAGTGTTTATTGTGCTGTACTGTTTGATTATTGTTTTACGGTGTTTTTAATAATGAACAAGAATCCTTGGCTCTGTAATGTTAATTAAGTTGAGCCTTATCCAATAAATTAATTAAAAAAAAACTAAAATGCACGAGGAAGTCATCTTGCAATGTCAGATTTAGGCCATTTGATGAATTTTCACTTATATTTGACACTTCGAAAATAATTTGAAATGTTCGAAAATCCCTCTGTTGTTGATCGGCAGATTTTCGAGAAGGTTTTTGTCAAAATTGAGTCTTTGTGTGTTTGAAATAAGTCTGGTACAATTGACGTTTCATCGGCGCACACTACTGCACCATTTAAATCGAACGTGTGCGAGCAAGAGGAAAACAAATTAGCGGGGAAACAAACTTCTATTCATCCATGGGTTCTAGATAGAGAAAGGCGATTAAATGTAAAAATGGTCTATAGCAGGTTAATTTGAAAATATTCCATCTATCAAATTTAAGTGAAAATTCACCAATTGCCGAGTTAAATTTAACTCGTGGTTAAAAGTGACATTTCGAAAGTTATTTTCAATGTTCGAAAATCACGGTGTTTTAGATCGATCAGAACTCAGCCACGGTTGCCAAAATTTAACTTGTAGTTTGTCAGAAATAACTTTCCATCTGTAAAATTTTAACCAGAAGTTGAAATAACCCACCAAATGGTTCAGAGCCTAAGAAATGATTACCTACTTCGGTAATTTTCAGCTGTTCGGTAAAAATCAGACATTTTAATTCATCATAAGCTTCAAAACTAGAAAAACTTCACCGCATTTGCAAGATTATTTAACCAAAGCTGACAGTGTTTTTAAATTAAAATTTAATGAAACAGCTTTCGAAACGAGCGTCAACGTTTCACCGAACGTTCAGTTGTTGAAAATTCGGTAATGAATTACCGAAGTTGGTAATATTTTTTGAGTTTGAATGTTCGAAAATCCCGGTGTTTTCAATCGAACGGTTTTCAAACAGATCTCAGTCCGACAGTCCGTCAGTCTGTCCGAAATAACCAAGCTTGGATAGCAGGGTTATTCAATAACTTTCCATCTGTCACTTTTAATCACGAGTTAAATTTAACTCATCAATTGGAACACACACACTAAGATTATCTTACCGAAATCTGTGAAATTTTACCAAAATCTCAACAGCTGAACGTTCGGTAAACAGTTCGGTGATTTTTCACAGATTTCCTGTTATTTTTCACAGATATTCGAATGTTTACGGAACGTTCAGCTGTTGAGATTTCGGTAAAATTTCACAGATTTTGGTAAAATAATCTAAGTGTGCATTGAACCATTTGCCGAGTTAAATTTAACTCGTGGTTAAAAGTGACATTACGAAAGTTATTCTCTATGTTCGAAAATCCCTGTGCTGTCGATTGACCGGTCTTCGAGAAGATCTCAGCCACGGTTGCCTAAATTTAACTTCTTGTCTGTCAGAAATAACCACGCTCGGATGGCAGCATTAATAGATAACTTTCCATCTGTCAAATTTTAACAAAATCCGTCAAAGTCTAAGGTGGATTATTTTAGTTTTGGTTAAAATTTGACAGATGGAAAGTTATAGATTAACCCTGCTATCCAAGCGTGGTTACTTCTGACAGACAAGAAGTTAAATTTTGACAACCTTGGCTAAGTTCTTCTCGAAAACCGATCGATCGACAGCACAGGGATTTTCGAACATAGAAAATAACTTTCGAGATGTCACTTTTTAACCACGAGTTAAATTTAACTCGGCAAATGGTTCACAGCCTAAGTTGCTTTCTCTCACTCCAACCATGTAAAATAAGTCTAAGGCTGTGCCCTATATGCCGAGTTAAATTCAACCCGGAGTTAAAAATGACATTCCGAAAGTTTTTTTTCGATGTTCGAAAATCCCTGTGTTGTCGATCCACTGGTTTTCGGCCAGAACTCAGCCACGGTTGTCAAAATTTAAGTTCTTATCTATCAGAAATAACCACGTTCGGACTGTGTTCCATTTGGTGAATTTTCACTTAAATTTGACATTTGACAATGTTGTTCGTTCGATTTTCGAGAAGGTGTCTGTCAAAATTGATCCCTGATCTGTCAGAAATAAGTCTGGTACAATAGCAGGTTTATTTGAAAATTTTCCATCTGTCAAATTTAATTGAAGATTCACCAAATGGAACGCAGCCTCGGATATCAGGGTTAATCGATAACTTTTCATCTGTCACTACGAGCTAACTTTAACTCGGCAATTGGGTTCTTTAATTTTGAAAAATGTATTCGTTTTTATACATCATCTTAAAGAGCTTCGTTTTCTGAGCACAGCGATATTTTTTCGAACCCACACACTTTCATCTTGATTTTTAAATCAAGATTTAAAGCAAAATAATAACTTCACTGTTTGACACTAAACTAACAAACTGACTGCTCGCTCCCATACAAAGTGACACTGAGGGGCGCTAATAAGGTGATTTTTGCAAATGTAATCGTACTTATATAAAATAGTCCCAGTGTACCAAAATTGATGAAATTTTGGGTTTGGCTTCCATTTTTAATGCAGATTACGAATATGCATTTACCTCAATACCCTTAAAGAACCCAATTGGGACACAGCCTTAGGTTTTTCTTTTCCAAAAATATACTCTCAATTTCGCTTGGGAATCGGAGATTCCCTCACTAAATCTTTAAAAAAAACAATCAAATCCACCCTCGCCGGAGGGTTTCGAATATCACTCTCAAACAGTGCACTCGACGCAGTTGCCCTTCCCATGAGAGACCAAAAACCTCCACACACCTACATGCGAAAAAACAACCAGCAGCTCCGCAACCTAATCAAATAATGACATCAAATTTCATTCAGGAAACAAAAATCTCCCACACACAAATGCACCCCGAAAACCTGAAAATTCCCTCGCAGATCCATGCAGGCTCTCACATGTGCAGCAGTAAGTTCCCTTGCGTCAAAATGAAATTTAAAAAAAAAAAGCGAGGGTTCCTTCAATTTCGTGAGAAAACAGCAAGCAGGCGGCGAGCCCCGAAAGCAGAAAAATTCAAAACACAAAACAAAAAAAATCGGAAGAAGACAGGTGGCTAGCATCCTTGCACTGCACCGCACCTTCCTTGGGTGTGTGTGCGTCTAAAATCCCATGCTCGTATGCGTGCATCTGCAGGAATTTCCAACAGGACCACTCTCCAAAATGTACATAACATCCTGTCAGGCGCACGGATCCCTACCACACCGAGCAGGGTAGGTACTTATGAGCCTTGTCTAACATGCTGCTTGTTGCGCATATCAACAACAGAAAAAAAGTATACGATCATTCTCCAGATTTTATGCTCGCTTATTTCCGTTCGCTTCCGCCGCTGCGCTGCAACGACCGACGACCAGTGAAAGAGAAAGAGGGTGAGCGAGCAAAAAAAAACATCGCAGTAGGCGAGTCTCTCTCTCGGCGCGACCGGTGATCGGCTCCGTAGAGTGAGATGGCTACTGGGCCCGCTCCGTCCCTGTGGGGTGCTCTTTCACTCGTCCCGAAGCATGGCCTACTGCGCGCTACTCGCGAGTGCGATGTTTTCAACGAGAATCGCGGAGTGAATGTGTGTGCGTACGCATTCTCTGCTCTGCTCGCCAGGCGGAATCGGTCGGTCCAGTAGTCTCGAAACGGATAGCGAAGTTGAATGAGTGACGTCGTCGTCGTGCGTTGTCACCGTGTGTCTCGTCTGATCGCCGTTTGTCGTGCGGTCGTCTTTGCATAATCTTGTCCAGTTGTTCTGAGTTATTCGATCAATCGCGTACGAGCCGGGAAACAGGAAGTTCCGTCCTCTCAAGAAGATCTCAATCAAGTTTACTTCCACGGCGTACTGTCAATGCGTGTGACCTGGGGGCAGCAGGAAGATGTCCCTTGAAGTTCTAACTGTGTGTGATTAAAGGAAGAAATCGCGAGCTAGTGTAACTGTACTTAAGAGTGGAAGTCTTTTGTTCCAAAATGATAACCAAAGAAGTTGCCAAATACCGAGAGTGAATCGAAGTTGCAGCATACTTGGATTAGAACAACGCTTGCGTTGTTCGAAGAAATCGAACGAGTGTTTGAGTTCAGTGTAGAAGTGCTGACAGGAAATCCGGCAAAGTGTGTAGTTTACTTTCACCGCAGCTCCAGGTCGCAGGCCCTCCTGGCTGCACCCTGGAACCGGATCATTTCAAAATTCTGTCCACCGCCGGAACCACCGCGCACCATCAGCTGCAAACGCCGTCCACGCTGTTGTCCAGTATTACCCACAACAACAACTACCTGAGCGCTAGCAATAGCCATCAACTTCCAGCCATGGTACTCCAGAGTTACGACGTATCGCTCAACGATGGGGACAACGTGTCGCCGTACGCCGGCGACTACGCCCCTTCATCCCTGCTAGCCAACGCCAACTACTATTCGGAATTGGACGCCACAAACCTCTACCATCATCACCACCACCATCACCAGCAACAGCAGCAGCAGCACCATCATCATCAGCACCATAGTCAACTTCAGCAGCAACAGCAAGGTTAGAATCCATGTCAAACCCACCAAGCCACAATGTGTGACCGCTTGGTCGCGCGTCATGACGCCCGATTACGAAAAAAAAAAAAAAAAAAATCAAAACCAAAAACACGCCGCTGATCGCGTGTACCGCGGTGACTGCCCGCCCGTCCCGTGCCTAGCATTTTTTCGAAAAGAGCCATTTTTCAGCTGGGCATGCTACTGCTGCTCCTTTCAACGTTCAATGTCAGCGGATGTTTTTGCAATCAAACAATAGCCGCTGCTGCTTCTTCACGCTATTCGTTCACTTGCAGAGTCATACCCCTCCGCACAAAGCGCGAATTGGCGACGAGTGTCGTCGTCTTCGTCGTCGTCGTCGTCGTAGTAGGCCATACGAGCGCTGTACGGGTGCATCACACCGCGAAAATCTTCGCCTGCTTTGCTCTGTCGGCCTGTCGCCGCCGTAATTAGAAGCGCTGAGTTCCAAAGGTTCGAAACGCACGAAAAATCAAAGTTGAAGGTGACGACCATTCACAATGTTTCTCAATGCTGGCCGCTATCAACTGGCTTAAGCCGAATTAATTTTCCAGCTGGGGGAGAAGAGTTTTTCGCGAACTCGCAATCATCTTCCAATATCCGTTACGGCGGCTACGGCGACGACCACGACGCCGAGTGGGTGGGTGGTTGGAAAATCGATCGACTGATTGATCAATTGGATCGATCAACGAAATAAATTTTGAAATTTGGATGCAGTAGCGGGGCGCGCCCAATTACTTGGCCATTCGTGCGTCCGTCCATCCGTCTGTCTGTGTCTGCGCTCCCGCACCCCGCCCCGTCTAACTGGCTGGAATTGGAAAAATGGTTAAACGTAAACGGGTGTAATTGGAATTTCCTACGATTTTCTTCTAATGTGATAATTGTTTGCCTCCGATTTAGCTTTTCCCGCCTGGTGCCCGTTGTGGTTGTTGTTGCGGTGCTTAAGTGAATTTAAAGAAGAAAAGTGTGTGCTGGGCGCTGGGCCGTGGGTGTGTTTGTGTGTGAGGTCCGAATTAAGGTGCGTTTTGTGCGAAATTGCTGGTGCCAATTTGGCGAGGGGGGTGTGTTTAGGAAAACTAATTTTCGAATAGGGTGATTTGAATTAGATGATTTGCAAGGTAATTTTAAGACACGAGGAGAGAGGAACAAGGAATTTTGGGGAAAGTTGTTAGGTAGATGTTGGAAATGGGAGGTTCTTGTTGCGTTCTTTGAGTGGGGTTCGAGAATGTTGAAATTCATTGATTATCACCTTGTGAATGCCTTTCGAAGTTTTCCTCGTCGGTTTTCTATGGTAAATCAGATTTCATTTCTGTTGTAATGCTGGGGAAATTTGCTACGACGAACGACGTCTGCTTGGTTCATATTGTCGAACGTTAGTTAAGCTGTAGAAAATTACCGAAGTCGTTAACAACTGATTTGACACAAATAAAAATATTATTTGTTTGTAAAAATAAATTGTTAGGACATGAAAAAAATAAAATACTTCAGTAGAACCCGGACGAGGTTATCGACTCCGTAGCAAATTTGGCAGTTGCTTGAGGTTAATGACTACAATTGATAAACAGAGTGGAAGGGGGCCTAATTTAGGTTATGTTAAATCGTGAATCGTTTGAACAATTTCCCAAAAAATACTGCTGTAAAAAATCATTTGGAGTGCTCCCCAGCATTCACTTAATATGATCCTGAAATTCCCATGCAATTATCATAGGAATTCCATTTTAGGTCTGTTCAGAAATTCCATTAACTCTTTGAAATGCTCGTCATAATTTCCTTGGAACTCCCTTCTGAAGTGTATAAAAATTATCACCGTAATATCCTTGGAATGCTCCTCGGAATTCCTTTGAAATTTTCGTCAAAATTTTTTTGAAGCTATCCTCCTTTGGACTTTTCCTTGGAGCTATCTTAAAATTTTCTATGGAATTATTTTGAAATACTTCTAAGAAATCCATTGGAATTGTATTCAGAATTTTCGTTGAATTCACCTGGTGTTCTAAGTTCCCCCGTAATTATTATCAGACTTAATTGTAATCTTTCTTTTAGCAGGGTGAATTTTTGTTTACAAAAGCAATATCCTTAAAATAAAAATAAATAACATCCTTAGGATTTATAACAGCAGACAATCTTTCTGCCAGGTATCTTGAGCAGCTCCAGTGGTACAAAGGGCCATCGTGAAAGACTTTCAACCTGGGGAGCTCAATTACACGACACTGCCAGGAATATTATTTCCGAGACAATACAAAACGGAAAGGGACATTCACTTAGTAAAACCGAAAAAGAGGCAATTCGAATTCCTAAAGAACTAAAAACAAAGTCGGTATGCTATACAAAAGCGGACAAGAGTAATGCAGTAGTGATTTTGGACAAAGAGGACTGTGACGATCGGATGACGGAAAAAATACTAATTGCCCATACAGACAGTTGAGGATTGACCCCCTCCCATCTATGGTTAAACATGTGGATAAAACGTTGAAAGACTGCAAGGCGTTCATTGGCAACAATTGAAAGTTTCAAACCCTATTCTACCTAGGATCAAAGGTTTACCTAAGATTCACAAACCAGGAAACGAAATGAGGGATATTATCTCGGCTGAAGGATCCCCCACTCATAAGCTTGCCAAATGGATAGTAAAGGAATTTCAAAATATGCCTAAACCCTTTACCACCCGCTCAGTTAACAGCACACAGGAATTCGCAAACCAACTTCAGGCATCAGGAGAGATTCGGGAAGATGAAGTCATGGTTTCATTTGATGTCACAGCACTTTTTCCGAGTGCACCAGTAAAGGAAGCCATCAGTCTTTTAGAGGACTGGCTTCTGAAGCAACGTGAGGATTCTACTTGGAAAAACAAAGTTCGGTCATATCTCAAGCCTACTCGTCTTTGTATGGAGGAAAATTATTTCTTTTTTTTTTTTTTTTTGAAAACAATGAGATCCACGAAATAATATTGGGATCTCAGATTAGATCTGTTTGTACCATTGTTGAACTTTTCGAGATTTAAAATACCGATAAATTCAAAATTTCAAGATCTCAGATTTAAAAAAAAATCATGCTTGGGCAACACTTTTTGATTCTGACACTGAAGAATTGTGTGCTGAATTTTGAGTTGTCAGGAGAATTGTCGAGGAATTGAAGGGTAATTATTAAGAGTCTTCTGAAGGAGTTCGACTATGAGTTTTAAGTAATTTTGAGAAGTGTTTCAAGAGAATTGTTAGGAGAACTAAAGGTGAATTTACAGGTAGTTCTGAAGAGACTATTATGGGAATTGAGAGGAGAATTCCAGGAAAATCAGGATCAGGAGAATTCCAGGAATTTCAGGGACTATTCTATATTCTATGGTCAATCCGCTTTCTTCATTTTCAAGTGAATTGTTCATGACTAACCTAGAAAATACTCTGGAGGATAAGAATTTGTTGCGCAAGTGTTGGTATAGGTACGTGGATGACATTTTCAGCATTGTCAAAAGGGAAGATTTATCTAAAATTTTGGAGGCTATAAGCAACGTTCACAAGGACATAAAATTTTTACTCACGAAGAAGAGAGAGGTGGCAAACTCCCCTTCTTAGATCTTCTCATCATCAGGGAAACGTCTTCGTTCAATTTCGAAATCTAAAGGAAACCAACAAATACAAAGAGACTAATACCAAGCACTTCAAACCATTCCCATCAACACAAAATGGCCGCTTTTCACCACATAGTTCACAGGATGCAAACTTTTCCTCTTAGCGATACAGGCAAATCAAAGGAAATAACTCTTATTTTTGAAATCGCTAGACTTAATGGGTATCAAGAACTAATTTCTGAAGTTTACCTTTTCAGTGTTCAGAATGATCTAGGAATTATCCTTAGGATTCCCTTGCTGTTGGAATCCACCCAGGTTCCCCATAGTATTGTCCTGAAATTATCTTGGAATTCACGCCAGATTTCCATGGAACTATTTCTATTGAAGTTCATCTTAAAATGCCCTTGAGAGAATCTTTTGATATTCATATGGAATTCTCTTCGGAATTCTTTCGAAACTATTCTCGGAACTTTCCTCCGAATCCTCGTAAACTCCTCAAACTTTTAAAGAAATCTCCTAGCATTTCCTTTGAACCTATCTTCAAACTAACTTGAAATTCAGCAAATATTTGTTTTTTGACCTTTCGCCAGAATTAGATTCCCTTAAGCAGGGTTTAGACAAGGCAAGTCAAATGATCAACTTTTTTCAATTCAAGTGAGTTGATCAAGTCAGTTGAATGTCATGGTTTACACGTTCAATTCGCGTTCAAGTCAGTTGAATTCAACTGACTTGATCAATTGACTTGCCCTGTCTAAACCCAGCTTTAGAGTATTGTATTACCATGGATCTTTTCCTCACAATTTTCTTTGATTGATTGATTGATTGACAATTCTCGACGAACATTTAAATATGGCCCATGAGTCATGTGTAAACAATGACTTCAAACGTCGATTTCTCACGAATCACAAAATACTCACGCAAACTAACAACAGAACCTGGAAAGTAGGTTTGCTCTATCATATGGTATAGTTGGATTGCGTGAGAGTCCTATGATTGGTGAGAAGTCAAGTCATTCTTTACACTTGGCTTATGGGCGCTTTTCAAATGTTCGTCTAGAATTTAGAGATTTTTCACCGCATGCTGGTTCGTTTCTGGATCAGAATTATTAAGTATCAAAAGAAACTCTCCATGGCTGAGTATTATTATTAGGGACAATACCAGGGTTGTAGCGATATCATCATTAAGTTTGTCACAAGGTTAATTAACTTTGAATCTTCCTCCGAAGTCCCTTATAGAATACTCCCTTCAAATTCCTTCAAATTTGCCCTAGATTTCCCTGGAATTCTCCTCTCAATTCCCATAATAGTCTCCTCAGAACTACCTGTAAATTCACCTTTAGTTCTCCTAACAATTCTCTTGAAACACTTCTCAAAATTACCTAAAACTCCTAGTGGACTTCATTGAGAAGTCTCTTTATAATTACCCTTCAA